CGAAAAGTTCAGTTCTTAATAAGTCACCAGTTTTGAATAAGTCATAAGTTCTTATTGGCTCGACGGGTTAAGTCTCATCTGTTTCCTCTTATTGTCTTTTGTGACAATAATTGTCAAAGTTATTTGATCCTCCTCTTGTATTTCCTCTTTCAAAGTTTGTTTATTGATTTCATTTAGTTCATCATTATATAAATTTTCGTCAAGTTAAAGTTTATTTGTTTGTTTGTTGTACGGTAATTCTTTGCAATAGGGTAGCACTAAGGGCCTGTGGTCAGTGTTGCTTTTCTATCAATAATTTCCATCGATAATATATTGTGCACTCTAAGGTGAGATTTGTGGGCTTTTGCTTCGTGGTCTTTCCTTATATTTTACAATTCCATTATACATTGTTAGGGTAGATTGTGGGCTTGTGCTCCGTGATCTTTCCTTGTACTCTGTTTTCCTACAGCTTCGTTACTTATAATTGAAGGTTTCAACGAATAAAGAATTATCGAATTAAATCAAACGGCCAGCACTATTAAACGTTACCACTAAGCAAATACAGTCCTCAAATTATAGTGCTGCAACCATCGGCGACTACGATTGCTTGCGGTTTAAAAACGGTAGAAATTCGGTTTCCTACAGGGACACGGTAGAGGAAGCTGTACTATTCTCTTTCTCAAATTTCTGAAAAGTATTCACCAGCAGCTTCTATTTGGCCACTTCCGGAACTACAGGAATTCGGGGTTGTCACTGCGCTTTCAAATGCGTTTCAACTTTTAGAGGTCCGTCACACAAAAGACATTATAGCTTTCTTCAAGCTGCTTCTCTGCTTTAAATGCGCAACAGCTTTTATCTGGCATGGGTGTTTGACATATGAATCAAATCGGTTTGGTACCAAATGAAGCCTCCTATCTCTTCGAGCCTCCTATCTCACTTTACATTGTCTTTTAATCCATTCTACGAACTTTTCTAAGTGGTTAATAGTACGCAACAGTCGCATTTCTTCATTGATGAGTAATAGCTTGCGATAATTTTGTTTGCTCTCTATTCTTACCTTGTAAACCCGTATGTACTTTATTGGTTATCTGTATAAAACAAGTCATTTGGATCTACGTGCTAGTTTACAGTCTGCTAGTACACTCTCTGCTGCATTAGAAGGCTTCTTAAAGAGTTCGCCCAATGAAGCAGATGATCAAACATGTACACGTGCTGAAAGAAATAGTTGCAGATTATTCTGATCAGTAACAACCATTTCTCTATTTAATCTACATCTTCACTGCAGCTTTTTAGCAGCACAACCAATTCGCTTCACGGAAACTGGAAATTTAGATTTTACGACGTTAATGCCAATTGAATACAAAAGTTGAGCTAAGGCTAAGTTTCAGCACATAATTCCCTTTTAATTCAAGTCAACCGGTTTTATAATTTTCACGTTTTTTTTTCTCTTCTGGGCCTTTTTATCGTCTTTCCATGTATTATTTAGTATCCGCAAACTCACTACGACAACATGGTCAAGAAACAGCATTTCTTTTTATGGTTTATAATTCAGTAGTAGAAAATACAATATTTGTTAGTCATTACAGTAAGTGGCCATTTCAGAAACGATCCTTTCAACCAACTTTTTAAGAGTTTTGTCTCAGCCGGATTCACCCGGTGATTTAGCTTCTTAAAGCGCTGCGTGCCATTTTTAGATGCCTTCTTTATTACACAAAGTTCTCAATTTTTCCAATATTCTAGTGGTGGATTTCAATAACAAATTTTAAAATGCTATACGTATACTCAGAAATCTCGTTTGTGAATCCTATTTTATGCTGCTGGTGTACGTCGTAATCGCTGGAAAACCCAGCTTGGTATGCTTGTACAGCTTTATTGACTCCAATCTTGCTTTAAATCAGAATTGAACTCAAATTTATATGACTCTTTTCTTGAGAATTTCTTTCATTTTTTTACAAACTTATTTATGAATTGGCAGTCACGACAGAACTTTGTTGGCAATGTGTGCTCTTCCACTAGATAAGCTGTCACCAGCACAAGTTGTTTTTGGTTTCCCAAATTTTTTTCAAATCATTAGAGTTTCAGACACCTATACTTTAGCATAATAATTGCTCCACAGCAGTATAGCGTGAAATGTTAAGTTACGTTCAAAATAAGGCATTGGCTTCTAATCAGCGAACCGAGACATATGAAAGTTCACAGTAATAATGAGGGGGAGACTGCTTTTGTACAGTCAGAAATAGCTTCTTGAGCTCTATTTAATTCTTCAGCTTTTATTGCGATATCGCAGCCTGCGGAAGTATACGCTAGTTTTTATACCATGTTTTTCAACATAACCCTTTTATAATCAAACCTCCACTTCGGCGACATACATTTTCGTCCTCTTCACTTTATGGTACTTCCGCTGTTTATCATTATCGTTGACAGCACATTTACAGATTAATTTTGTAATATTGTTGGTAAAGTTCAGTGAAATTTCTAATTGACTGAAAAAGTTTTCCGACTGATGTCTAGTTTTTGTAATTGTCTACTAAATTATAAGTAAATTATTTTGGAGAAAGAGAATAAAAGAAAAAAACCATAAAATTTATTGCGATTAGGCAAAATAAATGTGACCAGTTGCACTAAAAAGCCGCTTTAATTCTACCGCACTACCTTAACGGAACCGTATTGGAAGACTACCTAACAACTTTTTTTTAAGTAAACTGTTTAAACAAACTGGGTAAGAAGAATGTATTCGATCACGTCTTACACACAACTGCAGTAACTGCAGTCAGTTTGTTGATCTAAAAGTTAAAAAAAGGTAGTAACTTTTAGTGCTATAGTGATGTCATTGTTCACTTTGATTTATGAATGCTGTCATTCACAAAAAAGTTGATGATGCACTTATCACAAACTATCTTTTGCAAGTAACTTTTTTGAAAAAAATTTTGGTTTTTTGATTGCCATTTACTGGTTTGATGAAACTATTGTTTTTTAAGACATTTCTCAAAAGTCATTTCACTCAAGAATTTCTGTAATGTGATCTGAACAAAGATTGGCGCAGAAGACGGGCTTTCTTTAGCCCACACTCAGTAAAGCTGTGAGGATTATGAATGAGGTCTTACTGAATCAATTGATCTACATTTTCTATCAAAGATGCAAGAAAGAGTTATTGTTTTGTTTTACCTGCTGTAACATGGTCGACTAGTAAAATTCTGCTTCTGTAACACAATACGTAAAAACGAGTTATTCGCTCATAAGCTGCCATGAACATTCATTCTAAAGTTTCACCGCTCATTTTTGAAGTCGTTAATGTATTATTTCCAACTAATCTCTGCTGACGGTTAATCGCTTGTTACAGCATTCTGTAAAATAAACATTAACGCTTTGTCGATGGGCGCAACAGTACATATACTTGGTTGTAAATATCAAATGATATAGACAGCAGATGCTGTTTTCTCTATCCTTCACTAATAAGTCTTATCACCATCATATTTCTGGTCTTTTCTGGTGTTCTTTTAATGAACACACGTGTCCCCGTATTCTCGCAAGCTCTTTATCTTAAAACCACTTGAATGTTGAATTTTGTAGAATTTTTTTCATTTGGGCAGCTAGTTTACTTTTAGGTACAATTATGGTAACGTAGACAACGAAGGAGAACGTCTATGAATTGATCACATGTAATTTTTGACAGAGGAATAAAAGGGGTCGATGCTGAACAACATCATTTTTAGAATTACGCGGTTGTTCACAGGTAAAGACCACTTCGTGCAAGGCAATTAGTTATAATTCAATTTATGCAGATTCTTTTATTTTTGGGAAAAACCTAATGAATCTCTTGCAAAAGACATCAAAGAAGATTTGAAAAGAACTCAAAAGTGGAACATACTGTGCCGTACAAGTATCTAAGTGATAAAAAGTATGAGGCAAGGAGCTGTCTTCCTTCAGTGAGTGCTTCCATACTGTATCAAAAACGGCAACTTTTTATAAGATAGATGGTGATTATCTCGAGTATACAAATCACTTTTTTCTAAGAGTTTCTAAACAAGCCCTCGATAGAGTAACCAAAGAAAAACCTTTAACCAAAATCTGTTTGTCTACCAAACTGAAAGAGCCTCAAACAAGTAATAATCAAAAGCCTTTTAGTGACAAACACCTGCGCTAATAATTCTGCAATGATACCTCTGCAGCTGAATTTCTAACGTGAAAAACAAGCAGCTGTGATCAACACCGAAATTCTGAAAGTGTGAAAATTCACAAGCCGTACTTAGACTTCGCCCTAATTTCCTTTATAACTCCAAGAGTATAAAACAATGGAAGTTGCCTCTACCGACACTCCCGACCAAACATAACAAATTCCAATACCTTTCCTCAACTTTGCAGTAAAACTCAAGGGATATAAGCCCAAACGTCCAACTCACAGCTTTTTTTCAGCCACTATGCAATTCGTCACTCACAATTATCAAACCCGAGAGCCTGTAGCATGTCAAGGGCCCCGCAAAAGCAGTAATAAAGCAAGAGTAGCTTATTCTTTGCCACTATTTTTAACCTGCGCAAAACATTAAACATCTTCAATTTGAAATCATTTTATACAATTCACTTTCTTCATAGTTTTTAACTGCTACATCTAAATCTACGTATGCATTTGAACTGGAACGTGACACAGTAAATCCTCATTAAACCATCGGATGTGCGAGACTTATCAAAGCATCAATCAATAGCAAGTCTTTCACAAGACACGTCTCCGGTTTTTCATAATCGCCAAAAAAAATCAGAGCACAATATAATATTTTGAAGGCAGTAATAAACAGGCAATCTATTATGTGCAGAAGAAATCCTCGTAACCAAAAAT